CATACCTGTGGTTGTACTTAAATTTGAAAGAAACAAAGAATTTTCATACAAAGTAACGGTAATATTACTTGATACAATTGAAACATAAAGTGATAACTGATAAAAGGTTAACGATTGGATCATTTGAATCAAGAAGCTAGAAAGAACCTCTCTAGCAATGACGTCTAGAGAAGGCTATGACGCTCCCGGACCTCCCGCCAACTCCCAACAATCGGAGGGCAACTTGACTGCGTCACAAATAGCCTCAATCTTGGCCGATGGAGAATGGGATCAGGAGCTGAGGGCAGTGGAAGAAAATGATAACATCGAGTCTGCANCCCGCCTGTCACACTTGTGGTGAAGGGGAGCACAATAAGGGGCGAGTAATAATGGTTGGCCAGTGGTCTGGCCTCGGCCAGTTAGTTTTAGTCACCGCAGGCCATTCCTCGGCCACCTAAGAGACGGCCGCAGCCCCTTAGATGGGTGCTGGCTCAGGTATCATATTACAAAGGCAACAAGCTCGAGCGCAGCAACTTGCCGATCTGAACACAGAACAAGGGTTCCACATCCTTGTCGCGAATTTCTCGCTCACGGACTTCGCCGCACTGTGACTACAGGCCTTAAGAATCAAATAATAATTGCTTTAGCCTTAGGTTGGCAGATTTTAATTTGCAGTTTCATTTAGCCTAACTTTTTACAAGTCCATTGCTTTTGTCAGTCTATCTTGTCACTCTTGAATCTCGAGGAGTGGGCTGAGACTTTATGCTTGAATTTTAACTGACTAAGAGTCTAAGGCTAACACTCAACTCCCAAGTCTCAACTCTCAACAAGAATAAGTGTAGAAATTTTTTATAATCAATGCCCGTTCAGCCTGTATTAGTTACCAAGGTGGCCAGGTCAGTGAGGACTGTGAGGTGACTGAGGTCACCACTCATGACCTCAGTCAATAATGACAGTCACTAGACACTAGTCACCACTCACCTCACAGTCCCCATGGTCAGGAAGATGTGCCAGGTGCGCGGGAATTTATATTGTCATTTTAACAACCTGCGCGGTGCGCCATACTATGCCGGTAAAAAAAAATGTGCCGTGCGCCGTACTTTTAGAAAGCTAAAATAGTTTAAATATGGACTTGCGGCAATGCAAATTACGTAATCACACTGACCGTACACACAAACGTGTATCCGCACTGTGTTGTGGTTGGATACGAGTTAACTAGATTGCTACCGCGTCAACTCAGGACTCAGGTTCTAAGAGTCAGCACAGTAATGAATATTCATTCATAGATCACAATTCAATCGGACATGAATTACAGAACTAAAGAAGGCAACATGGCTTTAGATGTGCCATCGGTGCCTTCTAATGAATGACTGGACTGGTTGCGGCAAGTAGGGTATGAACCTGTATGTCAACAGTACGATCCTGCATGCCAATGTTGTGACTACATTTACATTACCGACATCCTCCCGGCCGGCAAAATCGACACGATCAATACCTAATAACAATGCGCGTAAATGGACTATACAAATTAGGTCAATATGGCATAATTACAGAGCGTAATTATGCTATGTGATACATAATATGAATATATATATTTGCAAGATAAGTCAATGGTCTGTCGTTTATTTTTGCTTCATTTGAGCAATAATGGTTTCCAAATCTGGGTGCGTTATGTTATGTCATGTGTACTTTGAATGTGCAAAAATTATAACTATCATATGAAAATTGTTACGTAGGTTATCATAGCACGAATCACAATAGAGTATCAAGATTGCAGCTCTGCCACCAGCCTTCATTGAATTATCCCGCCTTTTTTCTAAAATTCAATAATCTCTCTTCCAGCAAAGTTTGCGAAATTCATTAGCTGCATAAAATACTCTCTGCTGTGGTGTTCGAGTTCCGGTTGACATGAAAACTTGCGGTAAACTTGCGGTTCCAAAAATGGCGGGAAAGCTCTAATCGCGCCGCTCTGAAGGCAATTCATATAAATAATAATATAATCCACGCCTACGCTGGAGGAAGTTCAAACTTCAGAGGTGGAACTAAATGCAGTAAATTTGCAGTAAGTCAGAAAATACCAGAAAAATACCAGATTTAGGCATATATACCAGATCTAAAATATTCATACCAGACACCTTTTGAAAATACCAGATTTGTGAAATCTGGTATAGAAATATACCATCTGGCAATGCTGGTTCAGCGTTACTTGAAATCATCTACAGACGATGTTGCCATTCCATTCAGATGAAAACTGTGTCTAAATCAGAACTGTGTCGGACGGCTCCGCGGCCCGCGCCGAGTGCTGTGCGGTGCGGAATCGATGACCGTGATTTGCATGAACGCCTGCGCGAAAAAATATAAATAGATTGATTTACGCGAGAAATTTCCCCGTTTATATACATCTTCCTGAGTGTGGCACAGTCCTCAGTCACCTCACAGTCTATGTCATAATGTCACTATGTCATTGTCAGTCACCTCACAGTAGGGTGAGTAGGCTATGATGGCATACAGGCATGGTGGCAACTCTCTCTGCTCTGTTCATCAGCCACCGTCAAACGGGGTAAAAAGCAAAGGGATTGGCAGCCCGGCAGGGCCACACTCAGGAATCAGGATGATGTATGTTTTCGGTGAATTTTCCTGCGCATTTTCACTTTTTTTAAGCTATTGCTGTGCACAGTTGGCCATAGTGACAAACCAGAAATTTTTTAGAATCAGTTCATTTTTAATTTCCTCATTTACTCAAGATTTAAAAATTAAACCAATTTCTTATGTATGATAATGCTGGTATCCATGATACTTTACTGATCTACTTATAAGACTCAAAAATTAACTTGAGGGAGGCCATGGTCAGGAAGATGTGCCAGGTGCGTGGGAATTTATTTTGTCATTTCAACGACCTGCGCGGTGCGCCGTACTATGCTAATAAAAAAATGCGCCGTGCACCGTACTTTAGAAAGCTAAAATTGTTCTACTATTTTAGTCGACAATATACGCAAGTATATTGACTACGCGAGTCGAACTGACAATAATAAAATGTATAATTCCCGCGCACCTGGCACATCTTCCTGACCATGGCGGCAGGGCAGGGTAATAGGGAACAGCCGATGAGCCACTCAGCGGCTCAGCCAAACAGTCCTCTAACATTTTGTAGAAATGTTGTACCTAGCAGCTAAACTAATTAAAATATTGCAAAACTAAAAATAGTAGTGTAAAGTTCAACATTTTTCCTATCTATGCAGCATATGAGCATACTAAACTGATAGTGATAGGCTAATGCAAGTTGGGAAATCATACATTTATTACCTCTAATTTTCTAAAAAATCCCTGAAAAAAGTGTGAAAAGTGGGATTTTATAAAAGTACCTTGGCTAAGGTCTGTAGCAAAAAAAAAAAAAATATTTGTCTTATTGAAAAATTTTTCTTACATAAAACTTAGAAGTTGCACACTAGTGTTGGCTTAAAAATGTGATTGATAGAATTTGCATATTTCATGCCAAGAAAAAATTGTGGCCATTTCCGCAAAACGGGGTAATAAGGGACACCCCCCCACCTGGATAATAAGGGACACACCTAAAATTGCATTTACAGTAGTAGTTAGTAAAGGCTCCAATTAATGAAAAAATCAATTAACAACAGAGAATTTTGATTACATTTACCTAGCTCAGTGAAAAATATTTCACTTGATGAAAATTCACTGCATCAGTCATCACAAAATTGTGCATAGAATGTCACGGATAGAATTTAGCACTGGGCAACAAAGAATGAAAAGTAATTAGGTTACCTAAAGTCCTAAATTATGATTTATTTCTCCAAAAAATATGATGGTTTTCACTAAAATATTCCTTCTTGTTTCAGGTATGTTTTTTACAATCTTTTTTGTTATAGTGAAATCACTTGACTTGATTAAAATTATGTGAAATTACAAATCATCCTGTAAGCTTACAGATACAGAAGAAATTCTACATGGCTGCTGATTTGAAGCTTGCAATTGTTGTTGTTGTTTCTTGCCCCAAACGTCATGCTCGTGTGGGCGGAGGCTCTGGTGGTGGTTGGAGAGGTGGCACCGAAAGAGGGGAAAGATTGGCAAAAGCAGAGAGGGTTTCCAGGAACGTAGACGCCTCCACGGGGTTGTCCCACAATGATGAGACGCTGAGGGACGTGGGGAAGGTGGGGCAGGCAAAGAGGTGCTGGATGGATTGGAGGGGATCCCCGCACTCCAGGCAAGCGGCACTAAGGGAGCGTCCAACCCTGTGGGTGTAGGACACAAGGGAGCTGCAGTATCCCGAGCGTAGCTGGGATAGCACTGAGCAGTAAGGGCGAGGGAGTGAAGCCTCTTCTGCTGCAATTGGTGCTGGTGGGTTGTGAGGACAGCGTTGTTTTTGGCAGTCGCTGCAACACGGGTGGCTATCTCCCTATGGAGGGAGCGTTTTGCCTCTCCATAGGCACCGTCGGGCATTATGCCATCAGCCAGGAAAGACACCACAAGGTGGCTGAATCTCGTCTTGACTGAAGCTTTCATGGGGCGGTCTCCGGGGGGAGCGGAGACGATGTTGAAAGAAGTATGAGTAGGCTGGAGGGCGCTGGCGAGAAATTGAGCACAGGCCAGGTCCAGGTGGGAGGACGCCGGTCTCATGGTGGAGATGGGCAATTGGGGCCATCTTGAGGCAGCCAGTGGCTAGTCTCAAGGCTGAGTTTTGGATGATTTAGAGACTTGCAATTGCAGTGCGTGAGGCAACTGGGTACCAAATGGGGGCAGCATAATTGAGGATTGGGCAAGTAATTGTCCGGTATGTGGCAATGATCTCTTCCTTGGAGAAGCCCCAGTTGGTGCCGGCCAGGGCTTTTAAGATGCGTAAAGAGCCTGTTGCTTTGGTGGCTATGGCTCTGACATGAGGAGAGAATGTAAAATAGGTATCCAAAGTGACACCTAAGATATTGGCAGTTTTGTCCAAGGGGATGATGCCATTGCAGATTGTTGCAGAGGGGTGTAGACGGGATTGGTGAGTGTCGGGGATGAAAATCATGACTGAGGATTTCCCCGGAGCCACGGCCAGTTTCTTGGCGGTCGACCAGTCTGAGACGTCCCGGAGAGGTCAGCTTCAGAAGGAAGTCTCATCAGAGAGGGCAGCTTCCGCGGTGTCGAGCCTCGGGGACGACTCAAAAATAGTGAGGTCATCTGCATATGAGGCGATGTTAGGGGTCGGAACAGGTATGTTCGTGATGAAGTAGTTAAATAGGGCTGGTGAGATGACTGACCCTTGGGGAACTCCAGAACGGATTGTTCTGAAGTGGGACCTGGTTCTCAGATAGAGGCAGGAAGCCATCCTGCCTCTAAGGTAGCAGCACAGCCAGCAGACCAGATTATGATGTAGGTCTGAGGCGGCAATCATGCTAAGGTGGAGAGGGTGGTCAACACTATCAAAAGCTTTCGATAGGTCCACCGCAGCTGCCACTGTACATGCTGGAGGACGGCATGAATTGAAACCTGTCGCAATCTGGTGTGCGAGCGGGAGGATGGCGGTGACTGTCAAGTGTCCCGGTTTAAAGCCATGTTGCAAAGAAACCGTGACGAGAGAATCAGAGATGTATGGGAGTGGAAGGCATGCCAGGATCTTTACCGCTGGACAAAGGAGGGAGATGGGGCAGTACAAGGAGCCCTGGTTACCAGGTTTACCTTGTTTTAGTAATGGGATAATTATTGAGTTTTTCCATATGGATGGAATGGAGGCCGTGGAGACAGAGATATTAAAGATGTGGGTGGGGAACTGGAGGCCACATGGGCCAAGGTGTTTGAGGTGGAGAACCGTGAGGCCATCCTTACCCCGGGCGGAAGAATTGTTAGCGGCTCTGATGGCGAGTTTCACCATGTTAGGGGTGAAAGGGGCGAAGTCCCTGTCCAGGGGATGCTCAGCCCAAATTCAACGCATAAGGCGGCGGGTGGATGGGTTTTGGGAGTGCGGAGTGATGGAGGTGTATAGTTTGCAGAAGGTGGTGGAGATCTTGTGCTGCAACGAGAGGGGGGTCTGACCAAATTGGATTGGCTGGTTGGGTGGAGGGCGGCTAAGCTTTCTGGATAGTGAGCGGAGAAGGCTCCAGTGTTTTGCCTGGTGAGTTTGTCTGTTGCACGAGGCGAGATGTGTCCACCAGGTATTCCTGGCATGGCCTTGTATTGAAGTGGAGATTTCTAGGTTGAGATCGGGGAGCCGGGGTCGTTAGGGTTGTGCACACTGATGTCATCCCGTTGCTCCATGAGCAACCGGGTGCCAGGGCTGACTGCGGGGGAGAACTCCTTTGGAAAGCCCGCAGGGATGTGCTGCTTGGCAGCAGCTGCCAGGACGCCCCTGAGGGTCGACTCACCTCCTCTGATGGTCGGTACTCATTCATTACTAACTGTACTCCAAAGTCCTCTTCCTCTGTAGATGATGTAGAATAAATGACATTTTCTGTGATTTATACTCATTTTTCCTTTATTGATGTGACATTATCAAATCCATATATTACCGTATTATTGATGTTAAATTACCAGATCCATGGACATGCCATAGAGCACTGACAACAACCTTGTCCACTGCAAGCTTCATATCAGCAGCCATATAGCATTTATTCTGTATCTGTTAGCTTACAGCACGGCTTGTGATTTCAAACCATTTTAATTGAGTCATGTGAATTTATAACAAAAAAAGATCATAAAAACATACCTGAAACAAAAAGGAATATAATAGTGACAACCATCATATTTTTTTGAGAAATAAACCATAGTTTAGGTTAATTACTTTTTATTCTATGTTGTCTGTTGCACAATTCTAACTATGACATTCTATGCACAATTTTGTGATGACTGATGATGCATTAATTTTTTGTTAAGTGATTTTTGTTTGCTGAGCGAGGTAAATGTAATCAAATTTTTTGTTGTTAATTGATTTTTTTTGTTAACTGGAGCCTTTGCTAATCAAGGTTCTACTGTAAATGCATTTTGGGGGTGTCCCTCATTACCCTGGTGAGTGTAATATTCTTTATTATCCCATCTTGCGGAAACACCTGCCATTTTTTTTTTTGAATGACATATTCAAATTTCGTCAATCACGTTTTTAACCATGCAACTATTATGAAGTAAATTTTTTTTAAATGGTGAATTTTTTTTTTTGCTACGGACCTTAGCAGAGGTATTACTTTTCAAAAATCTCACTTTTTTCTGGGATTTTTTAGAGGTACCGTAAAATGGGGTAACTTAGACCACTTTTTTTTATAAATGCCATTTTTTCACTAGCTAAATTAAACTTGAATTGAAACATGCAAAATACAGGTCTATACTCTAGCTTCACTCACCATAAATTGCTGTCTCCTGCCTCTCTTAGTCTTTATGTAATTTCAAAAAAAGTGATGGTCTTTGTTACCCCAGCTCTTGGAGTATCTTAGACTGGGTGGTAAAATCAATTATATTTTTTGATAAAATAACTCCAAATAACTCCAGGTTTTGGTGCATTGTAGTAGAACTCTTCTAGTTACATACCGTATGCAAATGACAAACTTGAGGAAAGTGGCATAGTTTGCAAATGGGGGGTGCCACCCCATAATGGGGGAAATGTTACTACCTAATGGCAGCCCTGACAGGGTAAAATTGACTGGCTTGTAAATTAAGTTAAAATTACCATATATAAGACTCTGTAGAGTCTGAAACATAAAGAAAAACATGAAGAAAAAACATGAATATGCTGTCAAACATAAAATATATATGGCAATTTTATATTAACTTCCAAGCTGGTCTATGTTACCCCGTCAGGGCTGACATTAGGTGGTCTAAGTTCCCCCATTTGGAGACAGAGCCCCCCATTTGCAAACTATGACACTTTCCTAAAATTTGTCATTTGCATGTGTAACTAGAAGAGTTCTACTACAATGCATCAAAACCTGTAGTTATTTGACAGAAAAAATAAAAAAATTGGAGGGGGTACTCTGACAGGCTTTAAATAATAGTTTTTTTTTGTGGGTCACATTTTTAATTTTTTAACCTATTAGATATGCGAACTTTTAAATCTTTCTATTGTGTTATGTAGCCTCAGTATTAGGCTTTTAATGCCCATTGACATTGACATTTAATGCCCATTGTCAAATAGTTTTTGAGTTTTGGGGGTTTTTGTTAAAAAAACGAAAAGTGGTCTAAGTTACCCTGCCAGTCTAAGTTACCCCATTTTACGGTAGTAAATGTGTGATTTCTTCACTTGCTTTATGCTACAATGATAGTAGAAATGTTGAACCTTGTGCCACTATTTTTAGATTTGCAATATTTTGATTAATTTAGCTTCTGCAACATTTCTACAAAATGTGGGATGACTGTCCTAATTTACCTTGCCCATCCCTCATTACCCCACCTGATGGTAGATAGTTCTTGTGTCCTAAAAATTTTTTTGCTTGTTTGCAGAAATAACTTGTAACAATGTATAGAGTGCTGAGTAAGCAGCTGAGTCAACGGCTCCCTCAACATGTAACTCCCCTTGTATCTCCTTCTGCTGCCCCTTATTCTTCATCTCTTGTAATAAATAAACTAAATAACACATTAAGATCAAATTTTCCCTTCCATCATAACAAAATTGGAACAAAATTTATTATTTCACCTTATTTAAGGAATGCACAAGGAAGCAATACATGCCCAAACCTCTTGGCCTCTTGCACCAGCTCCTCAATATGCTTGCACAATTTTGGCTCCTGCAACGCAGCAAGTCAATCTCTGTCAACTCAAGCCCTGGTTGACTCCATAAAATTCACTGGAAAACATCAGTCATCCAGTGGAGTCCTGCACAATTTCTCTGCTGGGTCTTTGTTTGCCAGAAGGTGAGTTGATTATTTTATTATTATCAATAACTTAAATGAGTTTATGGATGTTAAGAACATAAGGAGTCATTCTGCTTCTCTGGAAATAATTAAGACAAACTGGAAGTAGAAAATCTCAATTGTACAGCTTTGTGGTTTAGTTCTTAGTTCATGGCTGATTTGAACTGGTCTTCTGAGATTTTTAGATTTTCAGTGATAAGTTGATGACAGATATATCAGTCAAAATATTTATTAGTAAAGACCACATTAATTCATTAATCTTTGCATCATTAGAAATTTGCCCTAGACTGCTGAAAGTAAAGACCACATTAATTGTTTGCATCATTTTATTATTTTGTTTTGCTGCCATTTGTTTCAGTTGTAGTGGTGGCCAAAGTCACCCCGGCGGCCAAATTCACCCCACTTGACGGTACTCATTGTTTCTATAGCAATTGTTGTAAATATATAATACAATATTTATTTTATTAAAACTCCTGCTTATTTAATCTACAAAATTATCTTTTGAAGGATAAAACTTGAGATAAGTTTCATACTTAATTTTGAATCCTGTATGTACAGGATTATTATTAATTTTTTCTTGAAACAGTACCTTCAGATGTCATGCATAAATTATTGTAAATACCATAAACTACAAGTACTGTCTTGAACATTTCCTGTCGTGGCAATTTATTGACAGTTGATTTACTTGTAATGTGAAGTTGTGAAAAATATTCATGAAAAGTTATCTTGTATCCTCCCATGCTATACGTACCTGTGAATGTTGACTAACAAATTTGAATTTTAGATTTAAGGTTTTATCATTTCTCAGACTTTTTATCTTCTTTTGTGATTTAAATATTTTTTTAATGTTTTCTCTTGAACACCTTAAATATTTTTACTCAATTTTTTACATTTAAGTGTTCACAATAGTATTGGCATTATATGTGTAAAAAGCTTCACTCTCATGGAGCAATCAATTGTTTGTATTGTTGGTGCTGTTATGCGGATATGTATTTTTCATGATTACTGCATCTGTTAGCAAATAATCATTGTTATTTTATTGTTACCTATTTCATCAATTGTCATTGCTATATTTTGATTAGTTTATTGTTTGTTGGCAGAGTGTTCAAAGCAGTCAGACTCAAGATAGATGCAGTCAAGAAGTACTTTAGCGTGGAAGCTGCGAGCGCTGTGGAGGGCGGCCAAGAAAACGAGACGCAAGTGTCGCAGAAAGAGGGAGATGAGGAAGAAGATGATGATGAAGAAGGAGAGGGAGAGAAGGAAGACAAGAAGAGGGTTGGCTTCCGAGACCGTAAGGTATCATCACGCCTTAGCCTCTTGCTCTGCTGTTTTCTAATAGATTAAAAACACAAAATTTAGCTGAAGATGGACTTTGTGAATGTATGTCAAACTAACGTACCTGAAATTGTCTCCATTTTCAAAAAGAGTATCCATATAAGCTCCAAATATTTAGGTGAATAGTAGCTAGCAAGAATAATACAATGTTTATGTTAGTGAGCATACATATGAACTTTTAGGTTAATAATACAACTGGTTTAAATGTGTATCAAGTACGTTCTTAACAACTGATCAAGACCAACCGTAAAGGTCAAAGAATTAGTTGATTTATAACCATTTAAATCAATGATTTAACATGAAATATTAGAACCACTCTGCCACGGTGCTTATAAGTAAATTATAATGCACTGCACAACTAAAGGATCTCTATTTCAGATCATTGAGTATGAGAACAGGATCCGTCAGTACAGCACGCCAGACAAGATCTTCAGGTACTTCGCCACACTGAAGGTGTCCGCAGATCACGGCGAGACTGACAAGAGTGAGATCTTCATGACTCCTGACGACTTCTTGCGCTCCATCACCCCCGGCATCAAACAGCCTGAAGGTGCTAGGTCTTGAATGTTATATTGAAGGTGCTTTACCTGAAATTGTCTCCATTTTCAAAAAGAGTATCCATATAAGCTCCAAATATTTAGGTGAATAGTAGCTAGCAAGAATAATACAATGTTTATGTTAGTGAGCATACATATGAACTTTTAGGTTAATAATACAACTGGTTTAAATGTGTATCAAGTACGTTCTTAACAACTGATCAAGACCAACCGTAAAGGTCAAAGAATTAGTTGATTTATAACCATTTAAATCAATGATTTAACATGAAATATTAGAACCACTCTGCCACGGTGCTTATAAGTAAATTATAATGCACTGCACAACTAAAGGATCTCTATTTCAGATCATTGAGTATGAGAACAGGATCCGTCAGTACAGCACGCCAGACAAGATCTTCAGGTACTTCGCCACACTGAAGGTGTCCGCAGATCACGGCGAGACTGACAAGAGTGAGATCTTCATGACTCCTGACGACTTCTTGCGCTCCATCACCCCCGGCATCAAACAGCCTGAAGGTGCTAGGTCTTGAATGTTATATTGAAGGTGCTCAGTCTTGAATGTTATATAGCATGGCGCTGCAGCACATGAATAGGATTAGGTGGCACTGAGGCAGGGGCGTAAAGTCTCGCGTATCATGTAGAATGCAGCTGTGCTAAATGACTAATAACTCAAATCCTCATCACACTGACCACTAACCCTCAGGAATAAACGCTACAAAGTTTTTAGATTATACAGCAACTTGTGTAACTATTGCAGGTAGGTATTAGTGAGGCAGGATAGTAGGAGGCTAGTGGGCTTTATGACTTTGATAGACAAACATAATGAAGCATTACAAGCAAATATTACATAATTCATTAGGAATCATCGTACTAAAGCCAGTTTTATTTTTTTTTATCTAATTATCTTCAAGCTTCAGTCCGGACAGAAATGCAATTATCATTAATAGCGCTCAGATGCTTTACCCTCAGAGACCTCATATTAGGGAACAAACTGGCTCCCCCTCCGCCTTTTTGAGTCGCCTGTTGCTTGAGTCAACTTTAACTCAGCATTTATGTGCAAAGTTCCTGCATGTTTTTAAACGAGTAGCTGAGTAGTAGCCAGTAATTAAGTTATATGCTGTTATGATTGTCTTGCATGGGTTCTATTTATGCTGGGCCTTTGACCATGCGGACTTGGAGTTGCCTTTGCTTACCGGTTGAGGTCTCATGGGCTCCAATATTATGTGTAAGGATATTCGAAAAGTGATATTGAGTTTTACTTTATTTTTAGATTAACTTAGGTTTGTTGCTGATGAACCCTTCGACTACTGACATTAACTCTTGCTATCAAAGGCTGCACCAACAAAATTATTATCGAGTTCGTTGCTCAGTTAGCCAATTACTGATAGCTTTTAAACTAAAAACTAGAATCACAGACGTGAAATTGACGCCTACATGTTCATGTTTACAGACGCCTACATGTACTTAGGACGCCTAAATATTCTTAGGCCGCCTAAATATTCTTAGACAGCCTACATGTTCTTATTCCACTATGTGTACACTGTCTCTTATACACATCTAGATGTGTATAAGAGACAGCACATGTTTTAATAATTCAAGTCATTGATGCACTTATTTTTGTCACCTCCGTTTTTTTCACTTGATTGCACCTGTCTTTGTTGGCTACGTGAATTTCGCAATTTGTTTTCAGATGTAGGCATGATTTAGCTTTTCTGTCTCATTGATATTCAGCACACAGTCCATTGTTGGCACGGCCTCGTCAGCGTTATTTCTATGTTCTGCATGATTATGATGTATTAACCTAGATGTGTATAAGAGACAGGTGTGGTGACGTGTGGTGAGGCTGGTGGTGTGAAGACGTGTGGTGAGGCTGGTGTGATGACGTGTGGTGAGGCTGGTGGTGTGGTGACGTGTGGTGTGATGCACTATGCATTACTCCAGCAATTTTTTACAGTGCTGTCCCATTTATACGGTAGCTCGTGTCTCTTAGTTCTCTTGTCTTAAGCAAGTTTAAAACCGAATTCACTCATACATTATATATATTACATTTATTAATATCCGCTCGATATTATGACTATATTGTCATACATGTCTCATTATATCATAATAATTAATGTTCGTACTCGTATTATCGGATCATATTGTCATGTCTCAATGTTTCATTGTCTTGCTTGATGGTAATTTGTATTTGTGTGTAAAATTATCAATTAGTATTATTATTTTCTGTGTGAAATCGTTCATTATGGTTTTAATTCAGCCAAAACATGTTGAATTTTTTTCAATTTTATTTGACTTCTTGCTAAATTATCACGTATAACATAGCCCGGAAATACAAACGCTTGTATTAGATAAATTATATCAATCCCTCTTGTATTTTCATATTGTTCTGCTGTGGCTATTTTGCTGGGCACTCTTTTTTATCACTAAAACTTTGTACATAATTAACATCGTTCAACTTATCGAGGTAAATATTCAAGAGCCTCCTCCTAATCCTGTTAACACGAGGCAGGTTGTGTACATTACTCATGGGTTGAATATACCCTGTGTGGGGAGGCAGGTTGTGTACATTACTCATGGGTTGAATATACCCTGTGTGGGAGGCAGGTTGTGTACATTACTCATGGGTTGAATATACCCTGTGTGGGGGGCAGGTTGTGTACATTACTCATGGGTTGAATATACCCTGTGTGGGNAGCACGACGCTGACTGCAGCACGATGTTGACTGCAGCACGACGCTGACTGCAGCACGACGCTGACTGCAGCACGACGCTGACTGCAGCACGATGTTGACTGCAGCACGATGTTGACTCTGTCTCTTATACACATCTAGATGTGTATAAGAGACACCCTGTGTGGTGGGGGGGCAGGTTGTGTACATTACTCATGGGTTGAATATACCCTGTGTGGGGGGCAGGTTGTGTACATTGCCCATGGGTTGAATATACCCTGTGTGGGGGGCAGGTTGTGTACATTACCCGCGGGTTGAATTTACTTAGTTGAATAAATACGTACGCATGTTAGCGTATTTACTGATAATATTTTGTTCTTACATGTGCGCGATATCAGTTTATCAGGTCCATCATTGAAGGAACATTTATACATACTCACTATGAGAAATCAGTGGCATTTTGCCCAAATATCGATGCCTCTTTTGCTCTTGTTTCGGTCTTCTCCCGACTCAGTTAGGCCTGGCAAGAGGGTGCATCAGTGCTACGGCCGCTCCCTGTTCTTACTATGTGAGAGAAAGTGTGTCAACATTGCACAATATATCCCATTCATTTTTCTGAATGGGGGCCATATATCAAATTCTTTGGTAATAAAAAGTGTCATGGAATTTAATGTAGGTACTCAATATTGGCTAGTACGAAATATGGTAGTGAGTTGATGGAAGAGGGTAACATGTTTATATCTAACACAGTTTATTTCGAATTGGGAACAATTCGACCAGTCGCTACGTGTATAATTTTTGCTTATAATTCAAACAAAAAATGTGCATCGAATCTGATCCATGATATTTGGGTTCATTTTCGGCAAGATTCGATGAATTAATTCTGGTCAATTTCAATTGTTCAGAATATAAACCTTAAATTTCAATGTTCAACCTCTGTACATATAATCACCTAGAGATGATAATTATCTGTGGTGTTCTAATCACCTTCGCAATTCTGTATAATTTGTGTACCCTTATGGCGCCCCTGTACCCTGCCCAGACGTGGCCCTCCCAGGTACTCTTTTCCATTTTCTCCTCCACTTCTTTTATTGAATTTACCTATCCCATTTTATCAAGCTCTTATCCATCCCTTTATTCTATCCTAATTCTTGAATAGAATTTATTCCTTTCCATTATCCTGCTATGAGTCTCGTGTTAGGAGTAAATTTACCCATGCTTGACAACTTAAATTATATAAAATACTCGCCTGCATTTGGTACCTCACACCCTCCACCAACTCGCCTGCATTTGGTACCTCACACCCGCCACCAACTCGCCTGCATTTCAGTTGTCTCCGTTGTATTTATCATTTATCAGTAACGTTTGCTTTTTCTCAGCGGCGTCAACATATTTTCTTCAACGACGCTTCTTAACAACATCTTTTATTCGTTATTCTTGGAAAAGTTTTCATTACAATGCTGTTTGTCACGTTTGCCGATGTTGTTACTGCATGTTTATTGCTTTTTCTACTAATTTTCGATATTTTATGCGAGAATATTTTTATTTATTTAGCGCTCGTTGATATTTTCGGTACCCTGCTTCTTCATTAGCATAAAATGTTCAACAGTAGATTTTTACAGTATATTTTTAGTAGGTTCTTGCATTCTTGGGTATTGACATTGTTAAACTTTCTACCTTATATAAGACTCATTTTACTTTGAAAGAAGATTTGCCACGCATGTGAGATCAACACCTTTGTTTGTTTACTTCCGCTACCTCATCATCTTTGCCACACTTGTATTCACTGCGCTCGCATCTTGTGCTCACACTTATATCCCTCTTCAGTTTCTCTTATCTTGAAGAATTTATCAATTCTATAGCTCTTTAGCGGATGTACAGGTGTTGGAAGTGTCAGCTAATTCATTCATGATCTTTGAGCCGCGTGTCACGTCTCCAGTCCCACGCGGCTTGAGAACAGTGCTTCCCGAACTTGGGTCCGTTGGAACAGTGCTTCCCGAACTTGGGTCCGTTAGAACAGTGCTTCCCGAACTTGGGTCCGTTAGAACAGTGCTTCCCGAACTTGGGTCCGATGGAACAGTGCTTCCCGAACTTGGGTCCGATGGAACAGTGCTTTCCGAACTTGGGTCCGATGGAACAGTGCTTCCCGAACTTGGGTCCGTTGGAACAGTGCTTCCCGAACTTGGGTCCGATGGAACAGTGCTTCCCGAACTTGGGTCCGATGGAACAGTGCTTCCCGAACTTGGGTCCGTTGGAACAGTGCTTCCCGAACTTGGGTCCGATGGAACAGTGCTTCCCGAACTTGGGTCCGATGGAACAGTGCTTCCCGAACTTGGGTCCGTTGGAACAGTGCTTTCCGAACTTGGGTCCGTTAGAACAGTGCTTCCCGAACTTGGGTCCGATGGAACAGTGCTTCCTGAACTTGGGTCCGATGGAACAGTGCTTCCCGAACTTGGGTCCAGGAACCCGAACTTGGGTATTATTACATCCCCTCAGCTGGTCCCCATATTTAAATTTTCCGGGCTAATAAAGATGTCAACGTCACGTTAGTTTGTCAGTGTAACCGCTTATATCAACATGTGTATTTGGTATAACGAGCGTATTGTTCATTGTAGTACTGGATAACGAGGGATCAGTCTGACCCTCTGAGGTAACCCTGCTAGTGGGAGAACGCAGTGATGCCACTGTGGCGTGTGTAGCGTGGCACATGGTGATGCCACTGTGGCGTGGGTAGCGTGGCACATGGTGATGCCACTGTGGCGTGGGTAGCGTGGCACCTGGTGATGCCACTGTGGCGTGGGTAGCGTGGCACATGGTGATGCCACTGTGGCGTGGGTAGCGTGGCACATGGTGATGCCACTGTGGCGTGAGTAGCGTGGCACATGGTGATGCCACTGTGGCGTGTGTAGCGTGGCACATGGTGACGCCACTGTGGCGTGTGTAGCGTGGCACATGGTGACGCCACTGTGGCGTGTGTAGCGTGGCACATGGTGACGCCACTGTGGCGTAGCATACACGCCACCATCAATGCCGAAGAATCCTTGTATCGCGTTCAAGTCGCCAGTCTATTAATTAAAAGTGCACTTTTAATCGATAATAATTGATATTAAAAAATACTGATTAAATAAAACAATGTCCTTGAATCTCCTGTTAATCGCTTCACAGAAGCGCTCTGCCTTCTACATCATCCGCTGCTTCAACAACTCTCGATGTCTCGTCTCACTTATTCATGTACAAAATAAACAAATATCACTAATAACTAAGTAGACGTAGCGTGTCCATGTACAACACTAGACCCCTTGAATAAACCCCCCATGGACCCCTGAAGGCGCTTGTCGTCGCTGCACATTAATGTATCAGAACTACGCACTCTAACTCTATGCTTTCTCTGTGGTATCTCCGTGCTGCTCGTAGCTCATGCCCGTAAGTGCCTATCTTTTTCTTCTTAACTTTCTGTCTCGTATTGTACTTTTTTACTTTTTCTTTGTGTAATTCATCGTTAAAAAGAGTCTGCTGAAAAATTGTTTTCTAATTGTAATTCATCGTGAATATTGTGCTTGATTGTCCTGATAAGCGCAGTATCCTACTAGCGTCTGGTCCTGATAAGCGCAGTATCCTACTAGCGTCTGGTCCTGATAAGCGCAGTATCCTACTAGCGACTGGTCCTGATAAGCGCAGTATCCTACTAGCGCCTGTTCCTGATAAGCGCAGTATCCTACTAGCGACTGTTCCTGATAGCCGCATTAGAGCCTACTACTTAGAAGTGTAGAATATTCTGTACGTCTATATATTACGTATCATATAAGTGCACTCTAGCCACGTATATGATACGTGTCTAGAGTGCATAGAAGTACAGTGCATGAATAATTCTAGTTATTTAATACCAGGCACGCGCTCGCTTAGAGTGCGCTGTACAAATGCCTTTTATGTATAGTAATAATATAATAATATTCCAAGATTTACCACCAAAAGTTCAATTCGCCAATAAAAAATTTAGTTTTTTGGTTTTTATTTGCTTAATATTTATACGCTTGGAAAGTCTGTTGGCTTTTTTCAAGCCTCCTATTCGTTTTTGCGCAGCCGTTGTATATTTCTATCGTGCACGAATCATTTTATTAGCAATAAACATTAAAAAACATTAATTCATTCATGATGTATGTCTTATGCTATTGTCTTCATTATAAATATCCATTTTTATTTTAATGCTTTATTATTTTTTAGCAAGACTAGCGAGCATCATACCTAGTGTGTAACTTAGTTTTTGTTATTATTGATTATTTATTTTCCTGTATAGCGTGTCTACCAACGTTGCACATTTGAACATTGGATTCTTTTCCCCAAAAAAAAAATTCATATTGAAGTAATTTTTTTACTTTTTTTATTATTTTTTAGTTGAGTTTGGCCGAGCAGTTACCGACCGTGAGTAATACGTTGTGTGATGTAGATTACGCACTTAATTTTTTATTTTTTATTTTTGTAGCACTTTCATTATTTAATTTACTATTGCACTTTCATCTACTTAAGCACACATGTTTTTAATAATTCAAGTCATTGATGCACTTATTTTTGTCACCTCCGTTTTTTTCACTTGATTGCACCTGTCTTTGTTGGCTACGTGAATTTCGCAATTTGTTTTCAGATGTAGGCATGATTTAGCTTTTCTGTCTCATTGATATTCAGCACACAGTCCATTGTTGGCACGGCCTCGTCAGCGTTATTTCTATGTTCTGCATGATTATGATGTATTAACTGCATCTGCTCTAACTCTCGACACTAAATTAAATAATATGTTAAAAGGCTAAGTAAATCTTACCAGGTAAACCCAATTATAAAATTTTTGAAGCATACTTTTCTTGAAATTCATCCCCGCCCGTGGTGCTTCTAGCGATGTTGCCTGTGAAAATCTTCGTCTGTTTTGTTTATACGTTGTTAAGTGACGGTCTATTTTCAGTTGCTTTAGCATCAAAACCGGTTTACTATAGAAACATGCGCTTATATATAGCTGATCCAAGTGAAAACTAGCGTCGTAATCCACAGTTAATGGCAATGTTCAGTAACATCTCAAAGATTTAACTAAATGTGCCGGGGAATAAGTATGACATCAACCACTATTGCGAATGTGTATGATATTAAACCCGAATGGGAATGAGTGTGAAATTAATTAATTTTGTGCACTGAACTATGATTGCGCGTATAGTCTTATGATAAACTAGCCTACCTCAATCATTTCGTACTACTTCCAGCACCGTCGCTATCATCTCCAGTATATGGCTGGATAAACTGCTGTTGTGATGAGACAACTGTCTTCTCCTGTATAGGAGCAGCCTGCAGTAAACCATAAACAGCAGCATTATTTGAAGCATGTGTCTGTTGATTGATAAGTTGAATGCCATTTGTTGTGCTGCAGCACATAACCACCCAGCATGTGTGGATAAATCGTCGACGCCTTCTAAGCGTCTTCTTAATTAATTTGTTCTAATCTTCCTCTCTCTCCAGATCTGGCGGCATGCGTGGCGTTTGATCGATGCACTTGGATCTTAATAGCTTTTCTGTGATCTTAATTGTCTTGTGTTCTTTTTTTAATTATAAGCATGTACATTGGTCATAGAGCTCTGCCATTACTGCGAACGTTTCATTTTGTTGTCCAGTTATACTCTTATATATTAAAATAGGACCGGCGCTAGAGAATAGACCAAGTTTGGCATGTCAGAGATTCTTATCTTTTCTTGTGACTTGTTTACATGAGATTATTTGGATCTGAATAGCTTTTCTGTGATCTTAATTGTCTTGTGTTCTTTTTTTAATTATAAGCATGTACATTGGTCATAGAGCTCTGCCATTACTGCGAACGTTTCATTTTGTTGTCCAGTTATACTCTTATATATTAAAATAGGACCGGCGCTAGAGAATAGACCAAGTTTGGCATGTCATGCAAAGATTCTTATACTTCTTGTGACTTGTTTACATGAGATGTAAAACTGTTTAATCTGATTTTTTTAAACGTTGAAATAAATAGCGACTGGACTTTCACCAACTCCGTGGTGTGATGGGCACTTCAAGTCTGAACGTGTCAATATGTCTGCATAACTTAGCTAGTCTGTTCTCTTATGCCTTCATCATCGGAGCGTCAATAATGTCAACAGGGAGTTTGTTCCACATGTTCGTGACTCGAAGAGAGAAATGGACGTGTTACAACGCAGATTTTTTAGTAGGTAACCGTGGCCCCTGGTGTTGAGTGTATCATGAGTATACCTACTTATATATAGTGCTGTTCAGTTTCCTGTATATAACTTCGTTGCCGTAGAAAGAAGGAAGTATAGTCTCAGTCTGCAGCTAGTTTCCTCCATTACAATGGATTGCTGCAGTGGCTGGCGTCGCAGGTTTCAGCAATGTGATGGCTGAGACTAGGTACTTCACATTTCTCAGAATTTTAATCCAACTATAGATAACAAATTGTACGGTAATAATTTATCTCTTGAGCAGGTTGGTGGTGGTGGCTGTGCTTCCGAGCCCTCATTAGTGTACAATTTTTCAGGCTTTGGATGCGTCCTTTTAATTGTCCAGAGTTGCTGTGTCCTTCCACGCGCAAACTTTTTCCGGGAATGCTTTTCTGTTTTCAATATGAAGCTGATGACATTTTCAGCTGCATTGCAGAAATTGAAGAGAACGCTTCCAAATTTCATTTATCTTATTTATTATGACTTGCATAAATCAGCTTCGTTTTTGGTATATGGTCACGGTGTGTAAATATGCACTCGACCTTGGTTTTACTTTTGCTTTGTAAACGCGATTTCCGTTTGTAATTATCCTGTTTAAAAGCTCAGCTGTACGCGGTTCATACACATTGTATAATGTACTGTACATCAATGTTCTTCATCTCAAGACCTCCGCTGTTCCAACATGTTCACATGACGTTCCATAGAGTGTAAGAAAACATTTCCGCTCATTTCTGTTTTTTTAAATATTTTCGGAGAGTTGACTTAATATTTGTGTTTCTTTGTGAATTAATTTTCTACCTTGTAATTTTTTGGTGGGTCTTGCAGTCATCGAGTAATCAAACGCACCGAAATTGCAGCAGCGAATTGCATGTTCGAGCCTCAGCACGCTGTGAAAATTCAGTGATTGTGCTTCGAGCGAGACTGAAAAAGTAGACGTGGACTTTCAGTCGAAAACTAAACCCATGTGTAGACCTGGTGTATCAGACTCTTTAATTAAACGTATTAAAACTTTATTATTAATTTGTTGCATGTATGTTGAATTGTGCAGGGTCAGGGCAAGAAACTGTCTCTCGCCCTCGACGAGGACTCGATCTTCTACAAGCTCGGCAGCTCAGGCCTGATCTCCTTCAGCGACTACATCTTCCTGCTCACCGTGCTCTCCAGTGAGCATCATCTTATCTTATATGCATCTTCCTGCTCACCGTGCTCTCCAGTGAGCATCATCTTATCTTATATGCATCTTCCTGCTCACCGTGCTCTCCAGTGAGCATCATCTCTTCTCACATTCATGCTACATTTTTATGAGCTATTTCACCATATGTACTCACATTCATTCTTCTTTTTTCCATTCCCATCGACTCATTTTCCTTACATGTCCTCATTTGCTCTAGTAAGGCGGCTACTCTTGAATTTTCATCCATTTGTGATCAGTTGAGAATTCCAAATGAATGATTTTATTTACGAGCAGTTCTGCAAATGCTTCTGTGGTTTTTGAAAAATGTTATACTGTGGGCACTTCATATTTTAACAATCTAGGCTCTCAGCAAATCACCATTGAAGTTATTGCACTAATTGCACCGTTAAATGCGATGTTCGAGTATTTGGTCACTCTCGTCTCGTACTAGTTATATTCGCGAGAATATTTAGAGTGTCGGCAGGTTAATATCGTGGTTGACGACAAGAGGTGGTTCATGCAATGGATAATAAGCAGGTTAATGCGGGTATTAAAAGTTTAATGTTTCCTGTTCCTGCTTCAGTAGTTCAATGTTTCCAGTTTCCACTTCAGCAGTTTAATGTTTCCAGTTTCCGCTTCAGCAGTTTAATGTTTCCAGTTTCCGCTTCAGCAGTTTAATGTTTCCAGTTTCCTGCTTCAGCAGTTTGATGTTTCCAGTTTCCGCTTCAGCAGTTTAATGTTTCCAGTTTCCTGCTTCAGCAGTTTTATGTTTCCAGTTTCCGCTTCAGTAGTTCAATGTTTCCAGTTTCCGCTTCGGCAGTTCAATGTTTCCAGTTTCTGCTTCAGCAGTTTGATGTTTCCAGTTTCCGCTTCAGCAGTTCAATGTTACCAGTTTCCGCTTCAGCTGTTTGATGTTTCCAGTTTCTGCTTCTGCAGTTCAATGTTTCCAGCTCCCACTTCAGCAGTTTCAATGTTTCCATTTCCCACTTCAGCAGTTCAATGTTTCCAGTTCCCACTTCAGCAGTTCAATGTTTCCAGTTCCCACTTCAGCAGTTTAATGCTTCCAGTTTCCGCTTCAGCAGTTTAATGCTTCCAGTTTCCGCTTCAGAAGTTTAATGTTTCCAGTTTCCGCGTCAGCAATTTAACAATTCCAGTTCCCACTTCAGCAGTTTAATGCTTCCAGTTTCCGCTTCAGCAGTTTCAATGTTTCCAGTGTCCGCGTTAACAGTTTAATGTATTGCATTTGTCAGCGTCCCGCCGCCACTTCGAGATCGCCTTCAGAATGTTCGACCTCTCTTCAAGGTGGGTCAAACAACTTCAGGGTTTGTAAAAATTTGTGCAGGAGGTTTCAGTTGCATCCCAAAGATGCGATCAACAAAGATTCGCTGATGAGAAGAACCTATTATCACAGAGAGTTGGTGAAAATGTAAATGTGGTTTCAGTCTTAAATGCAATACTGTTCTCAAGTCTCATTCCCAAATACAGTGAATTTTGAGCGTGTAACTTCTATAATTTAGCTCTTTGAATATTGAATGACCCGTGGAAAAGAATGAATAAGCAAAGTACAAGGGTAAGATAAGCAGTATTGGGTTAAGTTCGTACCTGTGCAGTCATGATGCAGGTGAAAATGAGTTGTGATGTGGCAATATCAATACGAATGAGGTGTTGATACTCGGAAAGGAACAGAATTGAGGATTAGAATTTCACACCCTTGATCTAGTTTTCAGATTAACTGCCATAGCTGTCATTTTATTGTACAAGAACGTAGTTATTATCACGTACAGGCATTCATGTTTTCTGTACACATACTTTTTAATCACGTTATTAACTGTCATATCTGCCATTATTTTTGTTGTAACAATATGCCCTCATAGACCAAACCTACTAATCACAGGTAATAAGGCTCACAGAACACGTCACCTCCAAACATTTTCATTCCATAGCTGCCATGCCTCTTAGACCATTCCTTGCTTTAATCATGCTAAAGCAAACATTTCCTCCATCCACGTCACGTCTAAACATTTACTCCACGTCACGTCTAAACACGTTCTCAACACGCTACGCAGGGTGTCAACTCTGCGCTCAGCACCTACTTCTTCGGCCAGGACCTCAGCGAGAAACTCACCATCGACCGCTTCCTGGAATTCCAAAGGCAGCTCCAGCAGGAGATTCTCGGCCTCGAGGTTAATCAAATTCATGAATTTATACATAGTTAAATTTTTGTACTCAAATATTCCTTTTAATTTTATCTCCGTCATAAATATTTTGCAAAACGTTTATTGTAGGTTCGTTGGCCATTCTTCTGGCGCGAATAACTGAATATTTGATGTAACTACGTATGAAGTAAGTTAATAAAGGTTGATAAAATTAGTGCAAAACCGGTATATCAATAATGAATGCCGCCCCCAATTCTAACTTCGGTATTTGCCGGTAGTTCCGTCGTAAAGGCCCCAACAGCGAAGGCCTCATCAACGAAGTGGACTTCGCAGAGCTGCTGCTTGCCTACGGTGGCTATCCTCCCAACAAGAAGTCCAGGATGCTTAAACGCATCAAGAAAACTTTTAAGGTGAGATGCGTGTCCCATTTGTGGTGTTTTTGGTACGATAAGTTAAGCGATACAAGAACTTGAAATATAATTTTTTTAAATCTATTTTTTTTAAATAAAAATTTTCAGAACAGGTGGAAGATTACCTTTTTAGTTTAAGGAGAAAAATAAAAATGTCAAATACTACACAACCAACATTGGGAAAGCTTGGTATTTGCAGTCAATTTCGCATTGCGCTGAACCTTGAGTTTGCGTTCAACTTTTAACCCTACCTGTTTATCAGTTGTCTCGTGCAAGACATCATCGAAATTGTTAGCTGGGTGCTAACTGTATAACACATCTATCCATGCAACAATTTTTCACTTTCGAAAAACGCTCCTACGAGCTTATATGGTAATTACATGCAATAATGTTACACTTGAACAACGCTCTTACGAGCTTATATGTTAATTCCACTTGCTGCTGTAGCCACGTCTGAGATGTTAAACTAAGCCTGCCACAGGGGGAGGAGGCTAAAGGTATCAGCCGAGAAGACTACTTGCATTTCTTCCACTTCCTGAACAACATCAACGACGTGGACACCGCCCTCACCTTCTACCACATCGCAGGGGCGTCCATAGACCAGGGTGAGTCTATTACCTTCGCCTGGTTGCCAGGTTTGCATTATTACCTTGGCACGATTGCCAAGAAGGCTTTATTACCCTGATATTGTTGCCAGGTATGCATTATTACCTTGGCACGGTTGCCAAGGCTTTATTACCCTGATATTGTTGCCAGATATGCATTATCACCTTGGCACGGTTGCTAAGTAGGCTTTATTGCCCTGGTTTTGTTGCCAGGTATGCATTATTACCTTGGCATGGTTGCCAAGTAGGCTTTATTACTCTGATGTTGTTGCCAGGTATGCATTATTACATTGGCACGGTTGCCAAGTAGGCTTTATTACTCTGATGTTGTTGCCAGGTATTCATTATCTCCCTGGCACGGTTGCCAAGTAGGCTTTATCACCCTGTAGTTGCGGTCAGGCCCGCACTAACATAATAATAGTAACATTTCTTTGATGTTGCAGTCACCCTGAAGCACGTGGCCAAGACTGTAGCGCATGTGCAGCTCTCTGACCACGTCGTCAACGTTGTCTTCACTCTCTTCGACGAGAACAGTAAGTCGGCCAACTCTGAGTGTCGCAGTCTCTATCCATTTCACTCACTCGTAGTTCATGAATTTTTCGCACTGTTCATCAATTAGTATATCCTTTTTAATGGTTGCTAAGGACAACATTTGCTTCTTATTCCAAGTTTGTTTTGCGGCGCTGCTTCCCACGGAAAGCTTGAATGGTGTTTTATGAGTTCTTAAGCCGATAAAACAGATTCAGTATCAATTTTCAAATCATGGTGCAACTTTAATTCTTTTATGACTAATTGGGAAATCCTTCATCTCATTCAGATATAAGTGCACCTTATTGCTCATATTTGTCGTGTCCTATAAATTTAGGGTAAAAATTTCTAGTATGCCTCACCGTTGTTCTATGCCTGATTGCTAAAATGATTCATACACGTTATTCAGGTGTAATTTCCTGTTTATGCTTACATTGTAAGCATAAACATTTCTTTGTAAGCATAAACATTGTAAGCATAAACATTTTTCTCATTTATGGAAAAAGGCACTATTGTGCTCGTCATGTCCGTCCGTGACTCGCTCGTCATGTCCGTCCGTGACTTCACGTTTTCGTCGACGAGAAAATACGCTCTCTGTCACTCACTGCAGTGAGTCCTGAGTCACATTGTTTATGTTGCAGACGACGGGCAGCTGAGCAACCGAGAGTTCGTAGCGGTGATGAAGAACCGCGTGCAGCGCGGCCTCGAGAAGCCCAAAGACACTGGCTTCGTGAAGCTCCTCTCCTCCGTCGTGAAGTGCGCCAAAGAAACCAAGCCCGTCCTCCTCGACATCTGAGGAATGCCCAGGCAGCCCGACCACAACAGTGGGGCTGCCACGTCTGCCTTCCTCCCCACCAACCCCAAGTCGATGGCATATGACACTGTAGCTGTCACGCGGACTGGGGCTGTTGTCCCTTGCAACATTCTAGGTCGGAGTATTGATCAAATGTTTAGAGGACCGCTTCTTTTTTGGTGCCGTGAGGTTTCCGCGCCGATCGGGGCAATGCGCTCCAGTGTTGTGTGTTGATTATTGGAACTGTATTAATAATAGCTGCGGTATTATTGTAACGTAGTTAAGGCAAGTTTATTGTTATTACATATTTTATTCGTCAATTTCTATCTATATATCTTAAGCTTCATAGTTGTATGTGTCGATGCCTGATTGGTGAATTCGTGGGTGCAGAACGATTTACACTGCATTAGTCAATTAGAATTAGACGTCCTTGTGACTGAATCTCTTCGCCCGTAGGAAACATTTCTCTGCAAATTTTACCTCGAGAAGAAATTTCCTTCAAAATTTTTCTCGTGGTAAAAGCAGTTATTTTATTGAACGTAGGGACTTCTTCGCCTTCCGACTAATTATTGATTGTACATACATTAAGAATACCTGGTGCTTTTCCGCCCAAATTAATCTTTTCTGTAAAGCACATGTGAAATTTTACTGTACCATTCGCAAGTTTCTTGGCTATGTCTCATCCATCTACCGCCGTATGTCACTCTCCAGGAACCTAACTTTCAACTTAAATTATAAGTAAACTTTTGAGTGCAGCAACCTAAGGACGTTTGTACGCAACAGAGAACATTTAAAGTTGTCGTACGTGGCGGCAAACATCAGTGAAAGTCATTTTGCGCTCACTATAGCGTATCCTTTTTGTAGTAGGCTTGTGACAATATTGCTTCGGTTACTCGTGTCAGGCGGTAGAGGGTTAAAGTAGCCTGACTGATTTTACTGATGGTGGGGCAATTGACTACAGATCCATCAATTCTCTATCGGTGGAGGTAGTGATAGGTAGTGGTAAATTAATTGGCTTATGTTAACCCTTTGCCTACGGACACATTTACCGTCGTCCATGTTATTCGTATCTGACCTGGTAACCGCTATCACCAGTGTTACAAAACCGTGAGCTTGGAACGGTTTCCGGTTAATTGCACACTACCAGTAATGGCAATGAACCATAAAATTTAAAAACTGATCTGGAAATTTATTCGTATATCTGTTGGTTGCTACGTTTTTTATTTGTATTTAATGTCTAATTCGTTAACCAAGATGGAAAAAACGAGTTATAAATTTCCAAAAATTCCAAGTTTTTTTTATAACTCGTTTTTTTCGTCGTTTCACAAGTCAGGTGAAGCTACGTGATTTGTCTATCCAAACTGCACCACCTTATACTTGCTGGAGTGCAGCTATGTAGCGTGATTTATCTTAGTAGTTTGAAGTCCTATTTGATGTCGCAGTGTCGTCACGCGAATATTTAAGTAAGGCTGAATTTTAAACTTCAAAAAGATCTTAAACTTAAAAATATATCCTTTCACTTCAAAAAGATCCATAAACTTTAAAAAATCCTTGTAAAAAAATCCTAAAAAACTAAATGACCTTCAAAAAGGTCATTTAGTATGTAACTAGTGTAAATGTTAGATCAACAACTTAAGAACGATCGGTGTACATTCTTAACGGATTTACTTTGCGCGTAAATTTTTTCATGCGAGATTCATGTTACACTTGCCTATGATCCATCATGGTTAGCCAAACAGTGGTTGGAATTTTGCAGGCTCGCTCATGAGTGTTGTACCGTCTTATTCTAAACTTTTTATCTAGTATAAGCATTCCAGGCTTTTTAACAGTTAAAGGACTGCGTGGACCTGTATCGATTCCCGGCGTGTATTATAACGATTGCAGGAGACGAGTGTCCGTGGACGGAACCAGGCATAACTCCTGGCCTACAATTAGGTTATGGCGGCCAACAGATCGTTGGGACGTAATTAATACTAATTATAGAATGGCTTCTTACTCGAGATTTGTACACAAGTATTCTAGGGGTTAAATATGATTATGAATTATATTCAACTTTCGATGATTTGTAATTCAATATCCGCATTACGAGATCCAAGTCTATGATTGAATTAAAGCCGTCATTGATAGCTGTTACCATTCTCATGCGGATTCACTGTATCAAATTGTGTTGATATTTAGGATATAGAACCTTGTGTTGCTATTTAGGATATAGAATCTTCGATGTTTGCATTATACTGTGCCACATTCTATTAGGGCGACATGCATTGGTCATCGAGGCTTTCTGTAATTAGTGGTTGCCGAGAGTACGTACGAGCAACTTGTAATTAGACGTACCAATAAAGGCTGAAACTAGTTTTTTCTCGGTTACAACTAGTCATTCTACCATTAGCCTAAGTTAATTTCCATTAGCCTTGGGTTAAAATAGTTATAATCCGTAGAGCAGCCAAAGATCATTCCAGGGGTGACAGAGCGAATTTTCCTCAATACATATTTTTCAGCATTGCACTGCAAACGGACACGAACCTCTCAGGTAACATAGCCGTTTGGGATGAAATAGGTTGGAAGATAAGTGAAGTTTATCAAGGCTTCATCCAGAAATTTTATTAAAAAAAATCACCTAACGTCAAATCGGCAAATCTTACTCTGAACAGAGAAAGGAGATCTGGACTCCAGCCTATCGACAAACCTGAAAAAACTTCCTATCTGTACGAGGAGGAAAAAATGATCCGGGAAAAAGTATCTAAATGAGTTGATGAAATGGAATGAAATGAATGCGCTGCTTGTAATTAATATTAATACACAGAGCGGAGAGCTAACTTCACCAAGTTGATGTTAAGACTAACCACGAACATCGAGATTACTTCAGAAGTAAATTAGTGCAGCTGAGCTTCACCAAGCGATCCCAAATGCTATTGTGACTTCATCGTCATTTGCGGGATTTAATTATTCAAGCGATGATGAAGAACCACGACGATGGCGGCAGTGATCGTCGAATAAGTGGTGACTCAGCCACAATGAAAATGAGGCGCATGAGAGATGAGGATAATGCGACCTGCCGCACCTTCATTCGACTACACACGACAGCGCACCGTAACACACAACGCATAAAAAAGATTTCGATTCCATCAAAAAATCACTGAAAATTAATTCGCGCCAGGTGCTCAATACTTCACTTTAGAAATTTCAGCGCTGTGTCGTACACACAAAAAGAAAAATGAATTCAATTTCGAAGCCGTTCGTGAACAACGCTGCCGTCAAATTTTAAGTAGCAATTAAAATTTCGAGAAGTTATCGACATAACTTTTGTTCCCGTCACGAAAAATGCACCTGAAACTTTGTCTTGGCGAATGAATGGTTATTAATTAATTAACTGAGTCACAAAATGATAAGGAAAAAAAAATAGATTCGGTCACAGGCAACGGAACCGGAATACTTCCAAGGCATCAGTATTGAAATCATGACGTCATCATCAAAACATTGATGTATGCATTAAAACTATGACGTCAACATCAGTGAAATTATGACGCTAATATTGGAGCAAGTAAGATATGAACAGCATTACAATGTTGATGTCATCATTGCTATAATTTTTACGCTAGCCTCGGTACAATCCTGACGGCAGCCGCCAAATACATAATGAATGTCAAACTCGCGTCAGACTCGTTTAAATGATGACGTCAGACTCGCTTCAATGATGACGTCAGACTCGCTTCAATGATGACGTCAGACTCGCTTCAATGATGACGTCAGACTCGCTTCAAGGATGACGTCAGACTCCCTACAATGATGACGTCAGACTCGCTACAATGATGACGTAAGCAGCAGTTCCGAACCAGCAACCGGCACAACTAGTGATGATTTACACCGCCTCCACAAAGTGGTTCTTCAGGTACGACATCATTCCGAACGCTCGGAACCTCTTGACACCTGCACACGAGACAAGATCTTAGTGACGTCTTCACAAGACAATTTCAAGGCCGTGAATCAATGGCTAGATATTATTACTCAGTATGTTCGAATTCTACAATCCAGCAAAAAAAACCTATATTATTCTAATGATTGGGCAATTAAAATGCCAGGAGATAACATGACTAAACATCAATTAGTACTACACATTTATATGATTACAAGTTTAAGGCGCAAGAAGTATGATTAGAAACCCTTTTTTGGCTTAAAAGAGCAGAAATAGTTTATAGAAAACGACAGAAAATTTTATACTACTATAGAAGTGGGAAACGACGCCAATGGTGGATCAAACGCAAAATTGGGTAAAAGGAATGTTATAAATAAGAGCCAACTGACCTAAATAAAACTAATATATATTCATGGCTGAAGCAAGAAATTGCTAGTACATAGGATAAAAATTCAATTGCAACTCGTGCTTGTCATTTAAGCCGTTTGAAACTGCACAAATCCTTATCCACAATAATTCAATTTTCGATCAAACAGGGTACAACACCCGGTCTATAACTTGGTTTCCAAAGCCAGTGAAGAACTGAGTGGGTTTCTACCTACAATTTGAAAATCATTTATAAACAATTCAACCCGAGTCAACGGACATCAAGACAAAACCATAGAGGTTGATCTTAAGTACTAACTCAGGCTAGACCTTATGTCCTAATACATAACGAAGACCCAAAAAAACTAATACAAATTGATCATTTATACCATCATGTCCTGTGTACTTATATATTTAACCTAGGAATTCTATTTTGATTATAGGTAACGACTCTGAACCCATTGCTATTGCTGTCAGGATAGTATATACCTATTTGTCTACTTTTACACCTCAACCGACATTAATGTTGCAGTTGAGCTTTAGTTGGGACCGCTACAATTTTTGTCCTACAAGAATGATGTAAATTAATTCCAGAATAGAACTAAGGAATGGAATCATGGGCAGACACAACGTGACGATAGTTCTACATGAATTAATGACAGGCTTACCAAAGACTTTCATGAGCTGAGCATCGCAAATAGCGAACTGTTTCTGTTTGGGATCCTGCAGGTTGCGCTCTTTAATGACCGCCCACAGCTTCTTGACGACCTCATGACGCGGCATGATCTCGGCGCCCACAACATCAGCCAGCTCGGGGGACAGCCTGAAGGACTTCGTGAATGCTGACTTCTTGCGACCACCGCCAGCAGCGGGTGCCGAGGCCTTCTGCACATCAGAACAAAGTTTTTCTAGCTTCTGGGCAAGGGAAGTGAACTGCAGGCGAGCTTTTGATTACGATATTAGAACGCAGGCACACCGGCACTACAAATAATCTGCATGTTGTGCATGCACAAAATAACGATAAATTAATGTAATATTTTCAATAATACCAATCCACGACGCAAGGGATTTGTGAGAAAAGGGCAAAGATATCTAATGATATTTCAGTGAATGCGTCATTGCAGTTTGTGGCTGTGTTTAGCTTAATTTCAAATTTAGAAGTTTTGATTGCAATAAAATTCATCAGTAACACAGTTTTCAGACAAGATTCACCATCTGCAAGATATTTGATTGCACAATTGCAGAAACCCTAATAACATGAAAAAGCTCATCCCAGCCCTTCAACTAGCCAACTATAATATGCCGTCTCATTGACTTACCTTCTTCTTCTTGGCCCAGTCTTCATCGGAATCTTCTTCATCACTGTCGGCCTTCCGCTTCTTGGCCTTGCCCTTCTTTGCCTTCTTGGCAGCACCTGGTGCATAGTCGTCATCCTTCTGGAGGCAGACCAAAACATTAAGATATGTTCATTTAAACAAAACATTTATAAATCATTAAATATTTGAAAAAATACCTCAAGCTTATTCCTTCCATAGAAAATAATAAAAAAATGTCCACATATCATGCAGGATGCATTTAATTAATAAAAGTGCTTTCTATATCGACTATACAAGGTGATGAAAAATTGTATTTTATAATCAATCTTACCGCTGCCTTGTCCTCCTCCTCTGAAACTTCCTCCGAGCTGACCTGAGGGAGACATATACCACATAAATTGTTTTTTCTTAGACATAGCATACATCATGTTAATGAAATTTAAGACATCATATTAATAAAATAACAAGATTAATGCATAATATCAAAGTTTACTTACTTAAAAATTGATCAATTTCAAATAAAAACTAATCATGAACATAAATATTAATGAAAATATTAAAAAATGACCAATAAATACTCAATTCTGTAGCCAAGATAAATTCTTTTGATCAAAAGGGCACCTACACTTGCAGGCAATTGATGAAAGAATCATAACAAAAATTGGAGGAATGCAATATATTCACCAATACAACCTACGCATAATGTATTGCGAAAATTGCGTTCAGTTAATTCTTGCACAACATCCAATTTATAGGGATGAAAGTGGAGGTCTTCACGGAGAATTCGTCGAACAGTTGTTTCAGAAATTCCCATAGCGGCGGCATGTTTGCGAGCCGAATGCTGGGGAGAACGCACAACTGACTGCCTGACTCTCTCAACATTTTCCGGAGTTCTGATAGTCCGTTGAAGTCCATTTCTGGGTTTAGCCACACTTCCACACTCTCGAAATGAGTTAACCCACAACAGAATTGAATTACGGCCAGGAACAAGTCTGTGAGGAGGAATTTCAAAGCGAGTGCGGAAGGCACGTTGCGTAGCAACAAGTGAGCGACCGTTAGAAAAGAAGGTCTCGACTGCAAAGGCCCGCTGCTCTTTAGACCAGAGCATGATAGCAACTGACTAGAGGGAGAAACAAACTTGGGAACTTCCCTCTCCAGATGAGCCCCCTCTTGCCCCTCTACCTGCCCAGCTCACCACACAGGAGTTTTTTCAAATAAGTAAGTTTCTCTGGTGCACCCTGTAGATATAATCAAGTCATTCAAGTGCATAAATCGAATGAAATTAGTTTTTAAAATTCATTATAGTACCTGATCTTCAACATCAGCCATTATGAGTGCGTCGATTTCCTTCCTTCTGTGACTTAAATCAACACCAAGCTTCTCTTCAACCTGTTTTCTGACAACTTTACTTGTCACCTTAGAGAGGTCTGCACCTTTCAAAATTTCTGCACAAGAAAAATTGAATATTGGAATCTGTAGTCAGAATAAATAAATTATAATCAAACAGAAGTAATTTGTATTTTTGCAATCTAAATTAACATTGATTCAGCCTTTCTGATCCAATGGATTATTGTCACTGATTATAAACTAAAAGTTTAATTGCTGGTCAATTGATAATAACACAATTTGTAACAAAAAAATTAAATATCCTAAATATATTTCATTATTATTAATCTGATAAACATATGCATGAGAATAAACTATAAATTTGTAAATTTATATAAA